AGTGCAAATCATTGTGATATATAATTGCAATGAGGTCAGAGAAAAGATTTTCGTACAATTTTTCTTTATGCACACTTATGTTTACTTTTGTCTTTTAATTTTTTTTTATTCAGTTCAACTACTCAAATTAAAAAGAGTATTTGGGGATAAAATGTGTGTGCAAAAGTTACTTTCCTATAAGTTAATTGAATGTTGGAAATGTTAGCAGTTAGTGTTGGGTTTATCCAGCTCATGATGACTTGTCTTAAGTCTATTTGAAAAATAGACATAGAGGATTAAGTGTGCTTCCCAATTGGAGTGGTTTTTCCAATTGGAGTTGTTTTCCAAATTGGAATGGTTTTCCCAATTGAAGTTGTTTACCCAATTTAATTTGTTTACCCAATTTAAATTGTTTTCTCAATTGGAATTAGTTTCTCAATTGGAGAATGGTTCATGTTCGAATTAGAATAGTAATCCTTATTGAAGAAGACCCTTACTATGTCTATCTAAAGGGGCTATTGTACTAATTTTATTGGAGCAAAACAATAATTGTATACCACTCAAGGTGTTAGAGTGAGAGAAGGGCAAAGTGTGTGTGAGAAAAACAAAAAGAACAGATAAGAGTATGCTTTTTTTTTTCTTGTTCTTTCAGGTTTTTTCGTCAAGTCTTTGTTCCATAGACTTGGCAAGGTTAACATTGTACTCATTATTGATATTGTGAGAGGTTGTCGTTGCTGCCAGTGGACATAGACACATATAGCCGAACCACTAATTCTTGGTGTTGTTTATCTTGGTTATTTCGTTTTCAATTTCTCAAGTTTGTTCTGCTTTTCCCATTCTTAAACGTGATATACACAACAAATGTGAATATCACGTTTAAAAATGGAAAACAGTTAGGTGTATTTTAATTTTTATATTAGAGTATTTGTGGTAGTTTACGTATTAGAGTTTCTTAGTATAATAAGAATTTTGCTATAATCTACTAGGGTTCAGAATTACTTTCATATTTGCTAAAATTAGGTATTTATAAACAATGGCGAAATCAGGAATTGTCGGGAGAAGGGGCGAACTTAAAAGAGTGCAAGGTTAAAAAAAGGGCAAACCAACGAGTTATAAAACATCAATTGTCGCTAACTTTCCTTGGCATGAGGTGGGATTTTGGTTGGCATGGTTCATTTTGAAGATAGGGACTACGAATTGCTTCTCAATAATTAGGTGGATGATTAAGCATTTGACGTTTATATCCAGGATCTTATAGTATCGTTCTATTACGTAACTGTATAATGGAAGAAAAGAAAATCTTAGACTCTTAATCCTAGAGTAGACTATACTAATATGACTAGTAACTAATTAACCTAACAATTCAATTAATCAATACTAAAAATCATACAAATTATTCAATAAAGAAAAATTTAATTCAACCAATCAATATGAATAATCATATACATTATTCAATAATTCAATTAATCCATCAATAATCAAGAATTCAATTTTCAATCTAAACAACAATTTCAGTCATCAATACTCATAGAATTCATATCAATTATCAATAACCAATAACCATATTAGAGTTCCTTTGGATGTGCTTTTAAATGATTGAAAACACTTTTAGATAAAATGTTTTGGGTTCCACAAGGCAATTTAAGTGCTTTCTACAAGAAGCACTTTAAATGCTTTTCAAGGATTTACTAGCATTTTTATTAAAGATTGTTTCCAAAAATATTTTCACCAAAATCCATTTCAGTCATTTTAAAAGCACATCCAAACGAGCTCTTGGTGTATTATCCTATAATTCTATGTCAATTAAATAAAAGTAATCAATTAGGGTTTGAAACAATATAAATTCAGAAAAATAAAAAATTTACCTCAAATTTGGGAAAGAGCTGCTCACGGGGATTGGATCCTCTTCGGATCCCTTTTGTCCGGATCATCCGGATCCTCCCCCAACACCTTTCTTCTTCTATTCTATGCGGTTCTGCTGCTACTGCTTCTTCCTCTTCAGTTCTTCTTCTTTCTTCTCTGCAATTATGCTTATCTTCAAATTGTTTTTTTTTTCTAGCCGATTCTGCAGTGCCTTTTTCCTGGCCACTGCTGCGATCCAGGGCCGTCGTCTTCTCCGACATCCGCCCACATCTCAACCAACTCACTGTCTTGAGGCAGAGGATCCGAGGCCACTACTGACATCACAACTTCTGTTTCTGTCAGCACACAGGTGATCGCCTTTCGACCGTTCGATTTGCGGTTGAACTGATGAGATTGATGCATCCGGAGGATCCTGTTTCTTGCTCACGTGGCGTCTGGAGTCTGACGTGGCAACTGGAATGGAAGGCCAATGGGGAATTGGATCCTCGCCGGATCCCCTCCCTGGGGATTCTAGGGATCAACACACATGGACCATTGATAAAAAATCGTGCGGCCATAATTTTTTTCTTTTTTATATTCTTCATGCAAAACAAGACCGCTTTACTTTTAAAAATATAAAAAATATTTAATTGGGGCCGCACGATTTTTAATCAATGATATGTGTGTGTTGATCCCTAGGATTCCCAAGGAAGGGATCCGACGAGGATCCAAATCCGGCCAATGGAACGGGGTTTTAGCTGGCGTGGCCTTTTGGTGCTTACTGGGACTGGGGCACACTTTTGAAAAGTGAAAGGGTTTTGTCGTTTGGGAGAGGAAAGGTGGGATGAATGGGAAACTAGAACGGATTTTTTTTCTTCATGTAACAATCAAACGTCACCGTTTTACCTGGTTTTTGCCTGAATTTAAAATTAAAAAACAAAAGCCTAGCGTGCAAGGAACAACACAGTAGCATGAACAAACAGAAATAGCCATCGTGTTTTCCAATTTCCAGCCGAACCAGGGGGCTTAGAACTCGCTCCTGGTCTTGTTTTCTGGCTATGTAGCTTTGCCACTATTTATAAACACAATTGTTGTATACTTAACCCAATAAGAGAAGATAAATGCTAAGGGGACTTTCTCAAAAAGAAGATTCTCCATAAACTCTCTGTCACCTTATATTTTTTGTAAAATGTTGTAATTTTGACACGAAATTAACATTAAATTGTGAAATAAAAAGATCCATAAAGAATTCCACTTTGAAAAGAGATCGATAGCATTTCTTGTAAGAGAAAAAAAGTTTAGTTAATTTGTCCCTCGTGAAGCAAAACCAATTTGCTCACCCAATTGCAAGATATAGCTTACAGGTTTACCTTTTCCTACTGGGAAAGCTCGAGTACTCCATGACTTATGAATTGTTTATTTGATGACAATAAATTAGAATGATTGTAATCGAAGGCATCTGTGACTCTTTTTTCTTGCGCGGGTGTTTTCCATATGGATTGCCCTTATAAGGTTTTTTATTAGCCACCTTTTTCTGCATGCTATGCTTACGTACGATGGGGATGTTTTGACGTAATAAAGTCCTATTTCTCTTAAAAAAATACAAATACAAACATGAATCGTCATCTTATATTTTCATTTCTTTTCCTTCTCTTTATTGTGATTCACGATCATTCAATATAAACAATTCTGATTCACCACCAAAATTTCAAAAGGGAAGGTGCCTATTTTTCTGAGTAATGCTATTTTTACCATCTAAATATATTTCAATTCTATACCATCTTATGTAATTGAGTTGAACATCTACATCAATTAAAAAATTCCTATGTCAACCAAGGTGGATATTTACAATTTTACATCAATGATTTTTTTATTAATAAAATTATTAACAAAAATAATAATGAAACCTACGTGCTCATGTTTTCAACCTCACCGCTGCGCCTCCTCCCTCTTCGCTCTCCAATTTCACCTTCCTTCACCGACGATTGATGATGTTCAACCCCCTTCATCACTGCCAACTGGGCGAATTACAACCTGATCGTGCTCCAGCGATTGACAGTGATTGTTTTGCTCTGCCAACAACTTCAAGTTTGCAATTTCAATGGTTTGTGCCTTCTAGCCAAACTTTGGATTTCATAGGGTTTTATCCCAGCAACATTGAGCAAAAAATATAAAAAGGATAGGATACGATGTTTTCCCTTCTCTTCTACTGCTGGGGATTTGCCAAGTGGAAGAAGATTTGGAAGACAACCTCTTTTCTTAATTCTTCATGGACTTTTGGTTAGCTCCAAAATCTCTTTCCATTCCTCTAGGAATGAAAATTTCATTCCATGTTATGTCCCGATGTTGTCGAAGCTTTTGGCTTGAATTTTCACTGGAATTATCATCTGTTTGCCTCAGATCAGGTGGAGGGATGAATCGTGCAGAATAGGGACGTTAACAGATAGGGTTTAAGCAAAAAAATAAACAAAAAAAATAAACATTGATTTAAATAAACAGAAATTCCACCTAGGTTGACACCTCAACTTCCACATCACGTGGTATTCTGAATGTGATATAATAATATGGTAAGGAAAATATTAGAGAGATGATACAATAATAGTACAGAGTAATACTAGGGAGACTAAATTTTTAAATAAAATTTATAAACTAAATGACATGAACCATGAGCTAGTGGCCAAGTGGTAAATGACGGATTGTGACTTCCTTCAAATTAAAAACGGAAGGTCTTGGGTTCGAAACCCGCTGTTGGTGTGGACGCTAGACTTGTGGCAGGGAGAGATTGAAATACCTCTGTGAGTCTTTCCGGCCCCCGGAAAGGGTGGATAACCGTAACTTGCCACCAGTTGTTCCCTTAAAAAAAAAAAAAAAAACTAAATGACATGGAAGTTGATGATTTACTTAGGCGTTGATAAACATGCTCATTTCTTATTAGTGACACACCATTTAGTTTGGAAATTTTAGCTACAAATTTAGCATCCCTAGCATTACTAATAGTACAAATAGATACAAGCGTAGCAATACTCTTTTTGTAATTAAATATGCTTCTCCCTACTCTCTATATAATGATAACTTCATGTAGCCCAAGTCGCCAAACATACACACTCTTATCTTCGTTATCCTCTCTCTCTCTCTCTCTCTCTCTCTCTCTCTCTCTGTGTCTGCGCTCAAATAAAGAGATGTTGAAGCCCCAAGTTCACCAATCAAAATCCAGCCAAACTCTCTTCCTTCGAAAGCCATTTTTTCATGGCAGAGCCAGAAGTGCTTCATTTCCTGTCTGGTCAAGGCCTTCCTTCCAGCCGGAAATTAAATACAGAAACATAAAAGCCACAAGTAGTAGTAGTAGTGATAATAGTAGTACCCCTACTACCACGACTAAAACTACTACTACTACTACTAGAATTACTACTACTCCGATTCCAGACCCTACTACTCCCACTCCTCCTACAGCCACCACCACTACCATTGTGACTACCGAAGTTGTCACCAAGAAGTTCATTAGTGTTAAGGCCACCCTAACCGTGACGCTTACAGTCGGAGGCTTTCTGTCACACATTGGTCTAGCCCGAGGACTTGATGATATAACAGATTTGCTCGGTCAATCACTCTTATTGGAGCTTGTTAGCGCTGAGCTTGATCCCAGTAAGTATGTATATATAGCGTTCGGCACAGCATGCATATGCATCAAACCATATCTTAACTACTATCATGCGAACATTAAAGGACAAATGACCTGTCTAAGAATTTCTGATCGAGCAACCTAAAATGGTCAGCCAAAAAACCCTATGCCAGAAAAAAACCCTGCGCCCTAACCTACCCCTCCAGTCACCCCACTCCACCGACGGCAAAATTTATAACCAAATGATGTGGATGATGATGATTGGATTATATATTACTTAAGTGTTGGTTAAAACGCTTATTTTTTTATTGATTACACATTATTTGGTTTGTAAATTTGATTTAAATATTTCATCTTTCTAGCATTATAATTCTTTTTTTTTACTTTCTCTCTCTCTTCTCCTTTCTTCCCTCTTTCTTTCTCCTGCACCATATATTCTTTGGAGTTGATGTTAATAGAGGGGTTTTGTGGTTTCTTGAACTAGCGTTTCGAAGGGGTGGAAGTTGATGGGAGGAGTCTTCGATAATGATTATAGGGTTTCTCATTCCCTCTATATATCTTTATGTGTATTTACGATTTTTTTATTTATTTTTTATTTTTTGCAAAATCAAACCCAAAAAGGTGGATACGAGAGAGATAGAACAATAGAGAGAGTTTAAAGTCGCCCGCTGTGGGGTTTGTCAGGGGAGTGAGCTCATTAATTGGTATGTATATATTACTTGCCGCCTTAGATGATAAACCAATGTAGTACAAAAATATGGTTTCTTTAGCATTTTGCTTTATTAAAATACAAAGTATATAATCAATTTCTCCCTTCTATCTGAATCTGATCAAAAGTAAACTTTAGCTATTAACTTAATTGAGATTTTTCATCTCAAAAAAGATTTAGAATTTCGATATACTTAGTGGTTAAAAATAGATGCATGTTGTAATTAACGTTTGGTAATGTTTTTTTTTTTAAAAGAAGATTTATTAATTTGTTAAGCTTTGTGATGAAGAAACTGGAGAGGAGAAGGAGAAGGTTGCGGGGTATGCACACAGGAGTCGCCGACAGGAAGGAGAGATAATATACGAGACAGATTTCAAAGTTCCAGTAGATTTTGGGGAGATAGGTGCTATTTTGGTAGAGAATGAGCACCGCAAGGAGATGTTTCTCAAGGAAATTGTCGTCGATGGCCTCCCATGTGGCTCTGTTCATCATAGCTGTAACTCTTGGATTCACTCCAAGTATGACAATCCCGCAAAGAGGGTCTTCTTCACAAACAAGGTCAGCCTTTTCCCAATCACATATATTATATCTCTAGCTAAAAAATAAATTATATCTGTAGTTAAAGTGACATGGCTTGCTGACATGTCATGCCAACAGTCAACAAATCAGCAACAAAATTGATCTGGATTATAATAGCACAAAAAGTGCTTTGTGGAAAAACCAGGTGCTTCTCCCTAAAACAATTTAATTTTTAATAAAACTTTTGTAGTGCTTCTAATAAAAACCCTACAAATTAATTAGTTGGTTCAATCTGTTGACATCGAATTAAACATGGATTGCAATTTTGCTCCGTGGAGAATGAAATAATAGAGAATTTATTACTCATTAAAACTTTTGTTGTGCTTCTAATAAGGATTACTTGTTATTAGTTATTACTCATTAAAACCCAACCTACAATTTTTTAACGGGAAAATTAGTATCCGGTCCCTAGTTCTTACTGTTCATTGACTAAGACCTTATTAGTTCTCAAATTTTGATTCAAGTCCCTATCATTAATGTGATAATGAATTTACATGTTTATTATATAATTTTTAATATAAAAATTAGTAATTAATTTAGGGTTTAATACTCACACCTCTATTAAACTTCTAATTAATTTTCAATTCAAACATTTCTAAAATAATAAAAAATTAAATTAAATTAAGTTTGTACCTATTAGTTTTTTATATATATATATATATAAAGATTCTCAATTTTTTAATCTTAAATGTACCCATTCATATAATTTTCAATTTTTTAAATCTTTAAATGTACCCATTCTCAAATATATCAATTTGTTATATGTAAATGTACCTTTTTTTTAAATATAAAATCCATTCAAATTTTTTAATCCATGTTTTAAAATTATATGGGTACATTCTTTTTCGTTGATTTGAGAATGTATCCATGTTTTGGTACAATACCTTTTTTTGTTAATTTTGGTTAATGTACCCATACATATATGTATACACACACACAATATAATAGAGAGTATAATTTATATTTTATTATTTTTAATCCCATAAATTATGGGTTTTATTTAAAATCTCATTAATATAAACAATTACAAATTTCAATTTTTAATTTTTAATTTAAAAATATAGTAACTTACATTATTATATTAATGTCAGGGACCTCAATCAAAAACTAAAAACTAACAAGGTTTCAATCAAAGAATATTGATAGCTAGGGACCGCATCCAAAATGTCCCATTTTTTAACCGTTTGATCTCGACCTTCTTTTCGACTGGTACGTGCTTGTGTGCATGTGTGGAACAGTCATACTTGCCATCTCAAACACCAAGTGGGTTGGCCAAGCTAAGAGAAGAGGAGCTCGTGACCTTGCGAGGCAATGGCCAAGGAGAGCGGAAGAGCTTCGAGAGGATATATGACTATGATGTTTACAACGATCTTGGTGATCCTGATAAGAATTTAAGACTGGAAAGACCAGTACTTGGTGGCAAAGAATTCCCGTATCCCAGACGTTGTAGAACTGGACGACTACCATGTGACACAGGTACGATATTAGAACATCTCCAAAGGAGATATCAAATATAGTATGTCAAAATTTTATTTGATGGTTGATGTGACAAATTGAATACAAGTGCTAAATTCTCTTATTTTCCAATGGATGTGTCAAATATTTATTTTATTATTTTATTGGGCCTAGAGTTACATTAACTATTAAAAAATAATCAAAATTAGTTTTAGTTTTTATTCTATTGGTTGTTAATGGGACTCATGCATTAAAAATTAAATTAAATATATTTGACTCATTCTTTGTTTGTTATAAAAAAAAAAGGCAATTAGAAAGTAAGGAGTCAAATGACTCACATGTCACATCATATATGACATATCCATTGGAGAACACTTTATAGTCTTTTAATCCTATTTGGCATATTTGACATCTCCTTTGGAGATGGTCTTACATGCTCTTTTCACTACAATCTAACATGTTATTCTATCAAATTATTACTTTAGATCGATTGCACAAACCCAAATAAGAATTGACTTCGCCGTGACAAAATTATAGCTAGCTAACCATGTACTATTATTGCATGTGGCCCAATCTCCTAGTCGATATGGTGTTAGGTTTATTCTACCCATGCATCCCCAGGTTCAGAACTCCCTCTCTAAATTAATGTAGTTGTTTCGAAGTCTTCCCCATTTCCTTAATAATAGTAATTTAAAAAAAAAAACTGTGTACTGTATATAATTGTATGACAAGAGAACACTGTTTTTAAATGTTATCTTAAAGTTAATAATCAATGGTTATACATACAGGTTCACTGTACGAGAAAAGGAGCAGAAAACATTGGTACGTTCCTAGAGATGAAGCCTTCTCAGAAGTAAAGCAGCTAACATTTTCAGCAAAGACACTGTACTCTGTGATGCACGCATTGGTACCATCGCTGGAGATAGCGATCGCCGACACTGATCTTGGGTTCAAGTACTTCACGGCCATAGACTCACTTTTCCACGAGGGGATTCAGTTGCCTCCCTTCAAGGAACAAGGGGTTCTCAAAGCCCTGCTTCCCAGGCTAGTCAAGGTTATGTCTTCTGGAGATGACGTTTTGCGTTTTGTACCCCCAGAAACAATGAATCGTAAGCAAATTCAGCCTCCCACGCACCAATATATGTGTATTATACAATGAATCTCACAACTGTTAATTAAGTGAAACTAAAACAAAATAGGCAACAATTACTGAGCAACGTTGTTGTTGTTGTTGTTAGGTTGCGGATATAAAAGCGTGACAAAAAGTCACAAATTAAGCACTTTTATTCTGCGACTATTGTTCTTTTTTCCTTATATATAGTTTGTAGACTGTTGAAGAAAAGAAAAATAAAGCATATATATGTGTGTGGGGTCCACATCAACAATCCAAAAATATAAAAGTAAAAATATTAAATATTCTCCATTTATTTGTGTGTAATTTTTTATTTTTGAACAAACGATATTTTCTATATTCATGGGATGAGGGAGTGGGATAAGTCTCACAATGGGCTAGCAATAATATTGTTCAAATTCGCCTTTAGTGAGAATCAAACCTAAGATCTCTCACTTATAAGTGAAGAGGAATACTGCTAGATCATAGTATAAGTGACATTTATGTTTGTATTTGTATCATTGCATAACTTTCTCTCACTATATCTAGCTAATTGAACTTTCTTCTTTGGCACCTGGGCTTATATTTAGGGGACAAATTCTTTTGGTTTAGGGACGACGAGTTTGCTAGGCAGACTCTTGCAGGTCTCAACCCATACAGCATCAAGTTGGTGACGGTATGAATTACTTATCTCTGTATAGTGACACTACTAAGCATTAAGTTTATTTCTTATTCTCGTTCATATTGTCAAAAATAGAATTCCAAAAAAGAAAATACGAAAATAATAAATAAAATATAATTGCAGGAATGGCCACTGAAGAGTGAACTAGACCCAGAGATCTATGGTCCGCCTGAATCAGCTATAACCAAAGAAATAATTGAACAAGAGATTAGAGGCTTCGCAACAATTACTGAGGTAGATATATCATAATATTATTTACAAGAGAATAATATATGTTCTTGTTCGAAGTCTGACATGTTATGTCATTTAATTGGATTTGATATATGCATGCAGGCCATAGAAGAAAAGAAGTTGTTTATTTTAGATTACCATGATTTGTTTTTACCCTATGTTAGCAAAGTAAGAAAGCTCGAAGGCACCACACTATATGGATCGAGGACTTTGTTTTTTCTTACCCCTGAAGGTACACTCAGGCCACTGGTCATTGAGCTAACAAGACCACCGATGGACGGAAAGCCACAATGGAAGCAAGTTTTCCAACCGGCGTGGAATGCCACGGATGTCTGGCTCTGGAGGCTTGCTAAAGCTCATGTCCTTGCCCACGATTCTGGTTATCATCAGCTTGTTAGTCACTGGTAAGACATAAATAAAATTAATGTTACATAAAATATCACATTCTTACACTAGTGATTTAAAAGGTCATACAAATAATATAGTCGAAATATTTTTATTCACCCAATAGTCTAGGGGAACCGATTAATAGTATCTCTCGTTGCTTTGCAGGCTACGAACACATTGTGCCACAGAACCCTACATAATCGCCACAAATCGGCAACTGAGTGTCATGCACCCAATCTATAGATTGTTACATCCCCATTTCAGATACACCATGGAGATTAATTCTCTTGCTCGTGAATCACTTATCAATGCCGGTGGTATCATCGAAACCTCATTTTCGCCCAAAAAGTACTCCCTTGAGCTTTGCTCTGTTGCGTATGGGAAGGAATGGCGGTTTGACCAAGAGGCACTCCCAGCTGACCTTATTAGAAGGTATGTACTCTTATCTGGCTGTGTAGATACACCATGTTATGGAAATGTCTCTTGTTAAAGAGTCTAACATGTTATGATATAATTAACATGCTAACAAGTATTTGGACACTGATTATGTGGACTCTTGATTGAAAGGACGTTTTAGATTGACAGTTTGACAACTAAACATGCTTAACTTGCATGTAGTTTCATGATATATACCAGGATGACTTAATGAGGTGGATGAAAGGTCTATTAGTGGCTCATATGTCAATCCATTTGTGGAACTAATATAAGTGATTATTGAAAAATTTTCTTGTGAGCTTCCTCAAGTATATGATAATAGAACAAAGTTTCTAATTTTCTTCTAAGGGTACTGTTTAACTAACATGTTAGTGACGATATTTAATTTGTAATTGCTAGGGGCATGGCTGTTGAGGACCCAACTGCTCCACATGGGCTAAGGCTAACAATTGAAGATTACCCTTTTGCCAATGATGGACTCCTCTTATGGGATGCTATTAAACAATGGGTCACTGACTATGTAAACCACTACTACCCAGACTCCAGCATTGTCCAGACTGATCAAGAGCTCCAAGCATGGTGGACAGAAATCAAAACAGTTGGCCATGCTGACAAAAAAGATGAGCCATGGTGGCCAGAACTCAACACTCCGGAAGACCTAATGGGCATCATCACAACAATGGTTTGGGTAGCATCTGGTCATCATGCAGCTGTCAACTTTGGCCAATATGCCTATGCAGGTTATTTTCCTAGCAGGCCAACAATTGCAAGGACCAATATGCCCACTGAGGACCCCTCAGAAGAGGATTGGAAAAACTTCGTAAGAAAACCTGACAGTGCACTTTTGCAATGCTTTCCTACACAAATCCAAGCAACAACAATCATGGCTGTTTTGGACATTTTGTCGAATCATTCACCGGATGAAGAGTACATTGGAGAGAAGATGGAGCAGGCGTGGGCTGAAGAGCCTGTTATAAAGGCGGCGTTTGAACGGTTTAAGGGGAGATTGTTGGCGCTTGAACGAACAATCGATGATCGAAATGCCAGTAGTGAGTTGAAGAACAGAAATGGAGCTGGGGTTGTACCTTATGAGCTTTTGAAACCCTTTTCACAACCTGGGGTTACAGGAAAGGGAGTTCCGTATAGCATCTCTATTTGAACTATGAACTAGTGTGTGCTTTTGGTCCATAACTCTTTCTCTTTCCCTTTGTTATTTGTTAACATAGTTTTAACTCATATGACTTCTGACAATGATATTGGCGAGCTTTCCCCACAATTACGCAATGTAGAAAGCTGGAACTGTGTTTAGTAGCAATGGGCATTAACTCCATGGTTTAAGGAACAAAATTGTGAGCGTATATATATATATATACGAGTGTGTGTATTCTTAGCAAAGCTGAAAATAAAATATATGTTTATCAATATTCAAGTACCCATCCAATCAGGGGATGCCACGTTTCCCATTAAAGAATCTTTCTGATTTATTTTTTAAGAAAATCAATTAAACAAACACTTTAATGGGAAACGTGACATCCCCTGATTGGATGGGTATACCAAGTGTGATGGTGATGTGGGATGACGGGAACACTTAAAACTTTCTCCTATTATGGAGTCAATAAAAGTGTGATACTTCCCAAACTACAGTTGCTAGTACAATGTCAACATTAAGAAATATATATATCGACAAAATAATAACATAACATTGAGAACAACAGAAATATCAAATATTTTATAGACTGGTATCAGCTACTCTTTCTCTAACCAATAATTGGGGCACTAGTGCAAGTACATATATAGTAGGAATACATGTGTGGGAAAGCTGTTGAGTTAGCTTGTCACAGTCGAAACGTACATCAGTCAATATATGGTCCATTGTTGCTTAATTGTACACATTATGCCAATGTGGTCCAGATCCATGTGAACATGAGCACATGCAAGCGTTTTTCGACAAAACGACGAGCTCATCAAGATGTCTTCTTGTTACAATTGAAGTATCATATGTTTTCAAGTTGGTCCTACTTTCTGTGGCTACAAATGTTCTATTTATTGATATTATGTAGTACTCATTCGGTTTCATTAGGAGATGTGATTTTTAGGGTGACACAAAAGAAAGTATTGAACTTCACCGTATATTTGAAATCGAAAGCATATACTAGCTAGTCTTGGAAAATCTTGATCCACACATGATTTTATATGGTGGATTAGTGAAGAAACTGTTGTATGTGCATGATAATTCTATATAACATCCATTGCATGATGTGTGTGGATCTCACTATTATTTGGTGGCTCTCATACATATATTTTGAGAGGTAAGATGTATAAACCCGACAATATTCAGTAAATATTAGGTTTGACGCGTAGATTGTTTGCTTGTATACCATATCAGGATATGAATATTTAAACTCAAAATAAATTGATTCGAGATCTTTAGGCATTAATACAAAGATTTTATTATCTAATTAATGAATCCTTTCAACAACTAGGAAGATATTATACACATTAGTGCAAAACCTCCATTCTCTAATGTAGGATGCTCTCAACAATTCAAACATATATAATTCTTTTGCTCTCACTAAAGTTTATATGTGTGTAGTGTAGGAGATGATTAATTAGTCTTGTGCTGATGGTGAACAAAGAGAGCATATGCATCAAGATAAAACCAGCATATGCCCTATTCTTTTGGCTCTTCAACAATTCATTTTTGTATTCTTCTCGTATATTTTATTATGAAAGCCAAAATCACATGCAAAAAGTTTTCCCCTAATTGCTAGCTATAACAAATGCTGGGGTCCTGAACAAATTCTGGGATATCCTGATGGTGATGATCTTGCTTCGAGATAGAGCTAGAGGAAGAGTGAATTATATAGTGGAAACCATGGCAAGATAGCGACTTTTCAGCACTTATATATGTGATAATTTGTATTGGTATTTGTCCTTTCAACAACAATCAAAGCTCAATTATTTTAGTGGAATTACCATCTTTGCAAGTTTGCAGTGGCTTATTTTAAGACTTCAATATGTGTAGTTTCCATTTTTTTGAAAAAAAAAAATATATAGTTTTTATTTTTAAATTTATTAGTCTGTTGAAAATGTTTATGTTTACAAATAGAGTAAATTGTAGTAATGGTCCCTCAACTTTAATCAAATTGGAGCAATGGTCCCTCAACTAAAAATTCATTACCATTGGTCCCTCAACTCATCAAAATGTGTAGCTATGACCATTTTCGTCAACTTCGTTAGAATTTTGCCAAAATAAGTTATGTTGGAAGGACCATTGCTACAATTGGGGTCCCTCAACTCATCAAAACGTGTAGCTATGGTCATTTTCATCAACTTTGTCAAAATGAGTTTTGTTGGAATGACTATTGCTACAATTAGGTTGAAGTTGAGGGACCATTGTTCCAATTGAGTTAAATTTAAGAGACAATTTCTCCAGTTGGATTAAAGTTGAGGGACCAATGGTAATAAATTTTTAGTGGAGGGACCATAGTTTCACGTTTTGATGAGTTGAGGGACTAATGATAATTGATTTTTAGTTTAGGGACTATTGCTCCAGTTGAGTTAAAGTTAAGAGACTATTACTACAATTTACTCTTAGAAATAAAATATATAAAACATTTAGAACGTTCATCACTCGATAAATATTTAGATCCTATTATCATGTATAAAACACTCCAACTATTGAAAGAACCCCTAAACATAGAGGAAAGAAATATCTGCTTTTTTTATTGTCGATATTTTGAGCCACTCATAAATTATGTCTTTACTTTTTGAGAAATTTTTTGAACCAATATGCTGAGAGCTTAGGGTATCTTTTCAACCCATCATTATAATCAACAAAGTTGATACCAAATCGAACAGTGTAACCCATAGTCCATTCGAAATTGTCCAATAGCGACCACGCAAAGTACCCTTTCACATTGACACCATCTCTGCAAAAAATAAAATAAAAAATAAAGATTAGATATCTAATTTATATATTGATCTATAATGTATATACTATTATTAAGAAAAACTCTCTTTGACAACTAAATGGTAAATGTACTTATGTGCCCTCTTCAAGTTTAAACGTTGAATACTAGTATTGAACTTAGAGGTAATATATCACTCCATATGCACTCTCTTATTATTTTCTCACACACCTTTTAATTTCTCTTTATGCATAAAACTCATTTTAACTCCTACCACATGCATATTCTTCTCGATGCTAAGCCAACTAAGTATCTTATTTTCCCCTCAAAGTAATGTAAGTGACAAAATATGATAGGTAGGTGGACATAATAACACCGTACTATTGTACTATATACTGATCACCATATTATTAGAACAACTCTCTCGCAAAAAGAGAAAGTCGAACAAAATCAGTGAATATGATACGTAAAAGTTAAAAAGGAAAAATAATAATACTCACTTGATTGCTTCTCTAAGGTAATAAAGATGGCGAAAGTGATAGTCAACTCTTTGGTTGTCAAGAAGAGCGTCCTCAAGCGACAGATTAGGATCATTAAACTCATTCACGCCTACAATACAAGGGGGAAACAAATACAAAGCCTTAACTTCTATATATGAACTATTATAGCTTAACCACATCAATAAAAATAATTCCGTCATCTCAGAAAATATAAGTGCTTTTAAAATGACTGAAAGCGTTTTTGGTGAAATTTCTTTGGTATCAATTCTTAGCAAAAATGCAAGTGAATCTTAAAAAACACCTATAAAGATTTTTTTGCAAGAAGCATCAAGAAGTACTTCAAGTACTTTTGGAACCCAAAACATTTTCTCTATAAACGGTTTTAGTCCTTGTAAAAGCACTGCCAAATAAACCAAATAAATAGTCATATAGAAAATAATTACCATTCTCAGTGATGTAAATAAGCGGATTATGATATTTTTTCTTCGTATGGAGCAAAACATCTCTAATGCCTTTCGGATAAATATAGAGTGAAGCAGCCTGCAAGATCATTTACTTGATGTAAATTGGGAGGTCGTGATAGTAATCATTCACTCTATATAGGATTAAATTTCTAAATCCTCTAGCTATCATCCATTGGATCAGATTATTAATCATATTAATTATTACATGAAGTCTGTTCAAAAGGAAATTATAAGACTTTATCAATCTGATACTCACCTTTGGCCCAATGGGAATTCCATTACGCTCATCTGGCAAAACAAACGGTCAGGGTTACTCTAAGCTTATGCAGCAATTTAGCGCATATATATTGGGTACGTTTTATTAAATAAGGTCCAACTCAGAAAAATAAGTTAGCGAGCTGTGAGTGAACAACTGAGTTTGTTAGGAGGTTAATGAAATAGCTTGAGAGCTAAGCAAGCTCAATTGTTACCAATCGAATATGCCGCAATATACAAAAACCTTTTTCTCTCTACAGTTCTTCTTCATTTCATTAATTATGTTTAGAGTTACAGGCTGCAGTTTTAATTTTCTTCAAATCCTCTGTTCGTTAAGATATTTTATATACCAACTGAATGTGCATGCATGGTTTCAAACATGCACATCAACTGGAGTACACGTGAAATCCACTTACTTTCATGGGGGTTATAAGCAAGTTCGATCCTGAATTATAAATGACACACTATTGTTAGCGTGAGTTTAATAGTTTTGTGGCTCATTATTATATTAAACTCAAGAGGACCGCATATTGCATTCGGCAATTAAACTCAAATTTTTAGGCTCACTTTGTGAGTTTGATTCCAGTTTTATAAGAATCGAATTCAAATTTTCAGGTCCACCGAGAAAGGCCTTATACGTTCAAGTTTTTTAACCACCAATAGTAAGTGTGTCAGAATAAGAATAATATAACTAAATGATAACTTTAAGTTTATATCATTCGTACCTGACATCGAAGCGGGAAAGTCTGTTAAGTAGCTTGCATTGCTAACAGCTAGTTGGGGTGCATCAGATACATATTTGGAAAAATAATAGTTCAATCCGATAAAATCATATGATCCTTTTAGCAATTTAGACTGCTCCTTGCTGAATTTAGGCAATCTGTTTCCAACAATAGATCGCATGCTATAAGGGTAGTCACCATTTGACATTGGGTCCATAAACCATCCCAGTGTAAAATCCAGGACTTTAACTGCAGCCTCTTTGTCTTTCTTTGACTCAGAAAATGGCACCACACCTAGGGAAACCAATGTCACCCCTATCAATCCCTTTTGAAATGTCTGCACATGTCACAACATTTTGTTAGTCTCGCTGTAACTATATCGAAAGTGATCTGTAACTCTTAGATATCACCTGATATTTTTCCTTGTATAATTTAACAGCAGCAGCATGAGCAAGAAGCTGGTTGTGTGTGACCAAATATGGCTCAACCCCTGAATCTCCACCTGTGCAGTTGCGTTTTAGCGAATCGGAACATCGTCCAGGTGCCAAATCTCCAGTGGCATAACCAGCCACACTACATGCCAATGGCTCATTCAACGTGATCCAATGCTTTACTCGATCACCAAATTCTTTATAACAAAGCCCTGCATAGTCCTGAAAATGCTTCCTGCGATGTAGTCATTCATGGATAAATATTGGATGCGAAAAGCAGAAGGTTGTATTGTAACATAACATTATTCACTTACACAATTTGAGGACTTAGGAAACCACCATATTCCTCTTCCAAGGTTTGGGGAAGATCCCAATGGAAGAGTGTTACAAAGGGCCTTATATCTGCAGTCATTCGTTAATAGAAAAATAGTATTAAACTACCATTTACTTTTTTGAGTACTCAACGATACCTGTAGTGTTCAGTATTTAATTAAAATTACCATTGGCAACGAGTTCATTGATGAGGTTGTTGTAGTATTCTATCCCTTTCTTGTTCACACCTCCACTTATTTTCCCATCTAAAAAAATATAGAAAATCATCATTAATAGATTTAATTTAAGGGTGGTGTAATTTACATACCATTTTTTACTTTTCACATACTCTATTAATCATTGTCCTTTAATCTTATTCAATTATTGATCTGATAGCTAAAAATTGAAAGTCGAGTGTGAAATAAATAAAGATCTATAGTCCTATGGACATATAGCACAAATGTAAGGGCCATGAGATATGGCATTAAACTTACTTGGTAGCACTCTGGACCATGAGATAGAAAATCTATAAGCATCCAAACCCATTTCCTTCATAATCCCCACATCTTCCTGTAAAAATATGGAATTAGGAATCAGAGAATGATGTCATACGTTTTCATTAAAATTATTGTCTCACAATTAATTATTGAAATACACCCACATATATCGCATGTATATTTTTATTCAATTTAGTTATATGCTCTTGTACCCTGTAGCGATGATATGAATCTACTGCAACATCTCCATTGCTACCATCTTTTACCTTACCTGCAATTCACCATAATAACTTGGATATTCAAATATTATATTAAGAATAATAACAGAAATGTTTAGTAATAACAGAAATGCCACATGACACTATTTCAGTAGTGGAGTTTGTTAGTATAATTACAAGGGTATTAGTGTAATTGAGATATATGGCTATATAAAGAACTGTATAGCTATTATTTCATTAAGTTTAGTGTGTACTTTTTCCTAATCAATCAATACAATCTCTTTTGTTTTGCTCTTTACCAATTCTTTCCCTTCCTCTGTACCAAATCTTCATCTTTTACAATGTAGTTAATATGGTATCAGAGCCACCAAGGCTCACACCATGGATCTTGGTGGTCGATTCTTCTTCTATCTTTCTTCATTACTTTCTTTCATTTTCGTGTATTTGATCGTTTATGCTTCTGTATTCATAGTTTTTTTACTTTTGGTCTCTGGATTTTCCTCTCCTCTTCCTTCACCTTCAAAATACCCACCTTCAGCACGCCGTTCTTGATCTCTGCCTTGATACTGTCAGTCTTGAACAAAGAATCATCGAGCTGCCAGAAAATACACATGTTCTTTTCTTCCGGGTTTTCTTGAATCTGTTGTAAAAAAAAAAATTCCAAATATTTCCATGGAGAATAGTAATCAAGAACCTCAATTTTCCATCTGGATTTCCCGAAGCAGCTTCTGGAAGCTAAGAAGGTCGCCGGACTGAGCGAAGCCGTGGATGGTGGTGGGCCTGGCGGATGTCGACCATTGATCTGGGTGCCGCTGCATCCTTCTTTCCTTCTTCCTCTCCTTCTCCCTCAAGCGCGCGATCGCGACCACTAACCCTAGAGGGACGCCAGCGAAGGCTTCGTCTCGGACGAGCTCTGTTGCTTTTGGCGCCATGGATTCGATAAAAGTTTGAGAATTTTAGCGGAGTCTTTCGATCCTGATTCTTCCGCTGTTATCGTCTTCAAGGGTTGTTGCAGAGGTGTTCGACGGATTGTTCTTGGCTCTTAGGCGATTGGGCTACAAAGGTGTTCGACGACTTGTTCGTGAATTGTGTTCGAAGATTTGATTCGTATTAGGTGATATTGTTGATATTTTCTTCATCTAGGTTCTTTTCTCGAATTTGATTTGGAGATTTTGGTTATGTGTTCTTCTGAATTGGTAAATGAATTCTGGTATATGGGTTGTGCGATAGATAATTGAAGTGTTGATAGCAGTCATTTGGAATTGTTTGGTGATCTGAAATGCTTATTTCTTAAAGCTGTGGTCTTTGATGTACTTTCGAGGTTTAATTGAAGTGAAGCTGTGGTCTTGATGTGTTGATCTCTACAAGTATTAGTTGTCTTGTCAATTTAAAGAAGAAAGTGTCATTCTTTCTATGAATCTTGGAGTTTCAATCTCCTAAGTTGCAGTGTGATTTGGAGTTTCATTCTCCTAAGTTGCAGTATGATTTGTGTTCATGGAGTGTCAGTCTCCTTATTTGGTATCTTTAGTAGAAGTGTGAGATTTTGGTTTGTGCTTTGGAGTGCCATTCTCCTTGGTAGATTTAGTTTCTTGGGAGTGTCATTCTCCTTGGTAGATTTAGTTTCTTGGCAGTGTCAACTATGGCTTCTCAGTTCACAGTCGAAAAGTTGGGTATGTTTAGACCAAGACCACGTACAGCTCCCTATTTGTGGTACCATTAAGTGGCGTTTGAGTAACAAGAGTGCAAAGTTCAGACATCAAGCTACAGATCTTATTTCAAGAATTGATGTTGTCATGAAGTAGTGCCAAGATGAGCAACTGATGGGTCATCTTGGTGTTGTCTTGTATGAGTATTTGGGAGAAGAGTATCCAGAAGTTTTGGGATCAATTCTGGGAGCGCTGAAGAATAGGCACGAGACAGTCCAGGAGAATTGGATTGACCTTGTTGGTCATATTGCTAATCGCGGTGCTGAGTTTGTTCCAGCAAGGGATTGGATGAGGATTTGTTTTGAGCTTCTTGCGATGCTCAAGGCTCATAATCTTCCACCACAACATGGCCTGAGGGGAAAGGCAGTAATTGGCACCCGATGGGATTCATTTGTTTGGGGTTTTCAAGAACAGCTAGTTCAAACTTCACTTGGTTACACCAAGTTCAGTTTGAGGGGGGAGTAATAACAGAAATGTTTAGTAATAACAGAAATGCCACATGGCACTATTTCAGTAGTGGAGTTTGTTAGTATAATTAGAAGGGTATTAGTGTAATTGAGATATATGACTATATAAAGAACTGTATAGCTATTATTTCATTAAGTTCAGTGTGTACTTTTTCCTAATCAATCAATACAATCTCTTTTGTTTTGCTCTTTACCAATTCTTTCCCTTCCTCTGTACCAAATCTTCATCTTTTACAATGTAGTTAATAAAGAATTTCACTCTTTTACTATACGTGCAAAATTATTTATCAGTTAAATTACAAGAATTTCACTCTTTTTAAGTTTACTGCTCATTGTCACCGGGAAAAATCTGTAACTAGAAAAAAATCCAAATCATATTTTCTGGTCTATGTATGTGGTGATTCTAATCTCTCTTATAGGTTTTTTTTAATTTGGTTCTTATAGTTCAAAACTGAATGCAAGTATAGTTTTAAAATCATGCTGAGTAGAGTAGCCTATTCATAAAATATTTTATTCAATCAGGTTAGCAAAATACACAAACGTCAACGCCTGGTCTATTAGTGCAAACCTTATAATTAATTAAATAGGACATTAAAGTAATTTACTGCATAATAAAATTCTAAACTTTGAGAAGGTTAACTAGAAGGAAAACCCTAACCATTGTTGAGAATTTTGTCACACTACTTACATGTATTTAATATATTCATCATCTCGACAACTAAATAGTGATTGTATTAAATACATATATTCTATGAAGTATATTTGGCTGTCAGATGGTGATTGAATTAAATACATATATTCTATGAAGTATATTTGGCTGTCAGATGGTGATTGAATTAAATATATGTAAGTATTGTAGCCAATCCCCCATTGTGGGTAGGTACGTTGCAAATCATATTGGAGCATGATCCATTTTGATTCAACAACATACTGACAGAAAGCAAGAAAAAATAATTTGGGTTGCCTTAATTTGGGAGGGTAGGTTGAAAATCATATTGGAGCATGATCTATTTAGACCTTATAACTTGGATTACCTTAATTTGTCACAACATATTGACAAAAAGCAAGAAAAAATAATTTGTTCAATGGGAGCTAGCCATTTGGCCTACTCTTAAACAGAATGCTATATGATTTAATATGCAATTCCAAAGTATTCGTCACTCGTCTATAAAACCGTGTTCGGCCGGCAACAATGATAAGTATGGTTTGAGCTCGTCGGGGCATATTATTAAATCAATCATGCCACAACATCTATGGATGCTAGCTACCAGACGACCTCTGATAATTTCGCCAACATTTCAAGTGTTATTGCATTTCTCTCATGAAATTTTAAAATTTGATTCCACTCGGTAAAAAGAATGTAAAAAAAAAGATAATAGGAAGACTAACTAATTTTGTAAATTATAACCTGGTTAATGATGATTGAGTTATTACTTAAATGTTGATTTTTTTTCTTTTTTCTTTGCATCCCAGGGAGCCATTAAATTTGAGCTAAAAGAAGAACAAGAAATTAAAACTGACCTGGGTATTTATGAACGTATGTATCCCATATACTTGGACCTCTACCATCTTCACTCGCAGCACCTTCATACTGAAATTTACGTAGAGTTACATATACAGGTGGATAAATGCATCTCAAAATAATAAAGACAAAATCATATGTTAAGAACATTTAGTTGCAAGACTTACGTATGTTGCTACAAAAACTTATATTGTAATATTAATCAAGACCTTACATTCAGTTAAAAATCATGTTGATCAGTCATTCGGATACACAGTATGACAATATATCAGCATATTTATGACGACACACAATCTAAAATACATGGAGAACACACTATTTCCTTTAATTTACACGCAAAATTTGAAAATTTTATGCAGCAAAGTACTTTACCTGGTAAGCGGCTGAAGCTGTTCCAAATAAGAAACCTGTAGGAAAACTGCTCCGGTTGAGGGAAGTAGTGTCGTACAGATCAGTACTTACTCTAGGTATTGTAACTCTACTACTCTTCACCATTGAGGCAAGAACAATTACCAAGAAACCTATAAGCTGTATAAGAATAGAGCCTCTAGATCTGGATGCCATGATTGATTTTGGTTAACAATAAGCTATGCACCTTCAGCTACCAGGAGGCATTTATAGACAGCTCAAGCAAATATATATTGAGAAGAATACAACAAAACAAAGACATAGAAAAAGACTGCATGCTAATATATCAGTAGAAAAAAGAGCAACAGTGAGCAACTAGTGACGAGAATATTGTTGGAGTGGCTGTTGGTTTACTGATACAAAAACGTGACTAGGAGAATAACTTTTTTTCAAGTCACATTTTCGGTGTCACCTAATCGAGAGACATTTCAGTGTGACGAGCACACAGATGATACACCACGTGTCATTATACAAATGAGGGGATTTGTGTGTTAAAAAGTTACTAACTTAAAAAATAAAATTTCTCACCACTTACATTAAAAACACGTGATGTACCATCCGTATTTTAATTATGTGAATTTACAGCTGTTAATATGTGAAATTGTGAATGATATGGTTGTTGATGTGTTGTTAATATTTTGTTCGCAGGTAAATTTAACTGCAACATATATGGAAGGACATTTCCAATGAAGGACCTTAAAATAAGGCCTCCACCACCACTTTTGATAACCTCTATAGGGTCTCGGGTAAAGGAATATTGGTTCCAATTGAGATTCCTATGGTATAGTCCTTAAACTTAGGGACTAAATTAAGGATTAAAAAATGATGGCTAATTACAGAATCGTTGATCAAAACAAGAAGATATCTGGTTGATACTTGGAGATTTGTGGTTAACATTTTTGGGTTGGTTGTGATATTCTCCTTGTGTTCTATGGCGAGCGACCGAGTCACCGGCCGAAACATTGTGATTCCATAACAACGGCATGCGGTTTTCAACTTTCAAACAAATTTATAAATTGAGTGGGGAATCACGGACGGCGAGTTCTGACTAAGTGTGCCGGTTGCCGGCAACACCGGTCTAGCTGTTAGGAGTACTATGTGCATAGATTTAAAGGAAAACTAATAAAAATGACTTAAAAATTTTGAGTTTTAAGGATAAGGACAAAATAAAGGGTAAAGTGAATAGTACCAGGATTGACTTTTTAGTGCAAAAATGTGGTTTTTGATTAAAGTTAACAGTACTGAGAGCTTTTCGTTAAATTTTCCTAGATTTAATGCTCTAGGATGATGACAGGTGTCACAATCCTAGGATGATGACACAGCTTTACATTTTGTATAAAACTCATCTCTCCTCTCCTTTCTGTAGTCATTTTTTCATATCCTTTAATCGGGATGATGACACAGCTTTATATTTTGTATAAAGCTCATCTCTCCTCTCCTTTATGTAGCCATCTTTTTCATATCATTTGATCGAATATAGCTTCTTCTATATCTCTTTTTAAATATTAATGCCAGCTACTTATAAGCGTTTTTTGAAAAAATATTTTTATCATATGTTTATTCATGAAAAACTTAGGACTAGTTTGGTATTATTGTATTTTAAAAAAAAAATTGCTTCTATTGTGTTAAATGAATAAACAGTTATAAAATAAAAACTGTTAATTATTTAGTAAACTCTTTTGTTAAAAGTGCTTTTATAAAACGTCACAATTCCAAACCAGCCTTTAAACTTTTAATTAAAATGTAAACATGTTTTTAATTAAAGCTCTCGAACATAAGCTCTTTTGAGCAAAAGTACATCTTATGATAGCAAATCCTAAATGAAGCCTTAAAAACTTTGATTTAGGACTAATTTGGTATTCGTGAAAAATTTAGGACTAATTTGTTATTACTGTATTTAAAAAATAAATAAAAAATTGCTTCTATTGTGCTAAATGAATAAACAGTTATAAAATAAAAATTGTTAATTATTTAGTAAACTCTTTTGTTAAAAGTGCTTTTATAAAACGCCACAATTCCAAACCAACTTTAAACTTTTAATTAAAATGTATTAATTAAAGCTCTTCGAACATAAGCTCTTTTGAGCAAAAGTACATCTTATGATAGCAAATCCTAAATGAAGCCTTAAAAACTTTGATGCCAAAAGGCAACCACTAAACAACAACGTTTTGCGAACTATTCTATTAGGATATCATTATGCTTGGCTGCTGCTAACATTTAAAAAGTTGATCCAAAGTTTATTTGTATATAACTATACACTACTAAAATTTGGCTAAAAGACACCCATTTTCATTGGTGTCTATTGTCAATTGTGGATACTCTCATTGATGTCAAACCTTAATACCACCAAGCAGCCACTAAATTAGAGATTGTGCCTTATGTAGAGGACTCTATTGTTACAAACACCACCACTTAGATAACGGTGGCACAATGAATAGTACACCTTTGAAATATTATATAATTTTTATACATCAGTGGTCATGTTGTAATATATATATATTTTTTTAAGAAGGCCCATTAATCTGGGCACCCAAATATATATATATATATATATATATATATATATATATATATATATATATATATATATATTTAATAGACTACACATAATTGCAGTTTTGCTATAGTCTTCCATAACTAATCACATATTAAAAAAAAATCAGGTCTAAAACCAATGAGCTGTACTAAAAGAATATGAAACTATCCGTCAAAGTACGAAATAGGCACCAAATTTGAAGGAAATTGCCACTTAAAAGACTTCACATTTTTTGAACACCTCTAAACATGTTTTTTAAGAGTGACATGCTCCTCATAATGCTTGAGCCCCAGTAATTGCTATCTCTACCTGCAAACACATAAGCACATGGATCAAATGACTAAAATACACACAAAAGTATGCCTTTACAGTTTTATTGTTTCCTACAACCTGCATAAAAAGCATATACTTGCGAGTATGAGTCTTTAACATTCCACATGAAAAATTGATGTGGCAAGTAGATCAATTTTTCAGCAGATAAATTCATGAGTCTCAACATTTCACAAGTGATATACTTGAGAGTAGATAAATTTTCGATCAGTGGATATGGTTATCAATTACATCACAAAAACATTCTAAAGGTAAGACTCACTATTTTGAACTAGTGGGTTGATGTTATCAATTTACATCAAAGTGGACCATTTATCTAAGTTTTGGGTCTTAATATATTACAAATTCAACATCAACACAAGCACCAACAAATTTCAATTTGTTTTCATTTGTTTTTATTCCTTTTTGTTCAACCCAATCAACTTCCTTGACAAATAAAACAAAAGGTAAAGAGAGAAAGAGAGAGTTCCCAGCCTGGCTTAACTTCGCCTTTGGAAACTAGGCACTGGAAATAGAGATGGACTTGGTGAATATTGATAAACTTGGTGGCTCTAAAAACTAAGTAATAAGATAAATTTGTTAAGTAATTTTATCATGCTCAGGTATTTTTTGCTTCACAAGCTATACAATAAGGACATAATAATTGCCCAAAATTAAAAGCAATTGAGAGTGAGATTGAGATAGAAAGACACAGATGTTACACTTTTATCATATGAAATATAACTTGATATGTATACTCTTAACTGGAAGATTGAAAACCATGCTATAACCAAAACTAAAGAGAACAGTAATGCCACAGAATGGGGAGAAAAAGAAGGAAAAAAAAAAATACTTTTTAGCTTCACCAAGTATACTCTTAAGGTTCTCCACTTAGTGATCCTCAGGTAGGTTCTCTACCAAAACAGTGCACTATAATGCACAAATTAGATGCTTGAAGTTTCCGAAAAATAATACTTAAAAAAATTAAGAACAAAAACTTAAAAAATTAAAATCAAGTTCGAAAGGATACATTTGGATCCTTGTTTTCAGTTAATGGAAAGGGATGAATCTGTTACACCTTCCCATTCGAACTCACAACCTACAAGCAGAAAATTGGCCTGAAAACTCGCGGTCACAGTTTCTTAGATCTGAAATTCAGAAAATTCTGCTACGAATTTGTAAAAACTAACTTGAGGGATGGAAAGAGGAAGGGAAGAGGATTCTGGACGTATAATTTGATGGTCATTGGTGACCGGAAGACGGAGGCGCTACTGCTTGAAAGAGAAGAGGGATAGAGATGATATGGGTGGGAGGAGAGGGAGGAGAGGGAGAATGAAGGGGGAAGCGAGCGAAGAGAATGAAGGGGATGAGTTGGACTTTTGTGAAGGGGAGATAGGTTAATTGTATTTTTATTTGTTTTATTGGTGCCCAATAAATTCTATTGGTGACCCATTTAATCACAAATGCACAAGAAATTATTTTTTAAGAAATAAAGCTATTTAACAGCCACCAATCATTGGTGTCTCAATGTTGAAGGTGTCACATTCCGACCCAGGCCCTCACCACATCCCGGGCTCAACTCCACCGTAACATGATATTGTCTGCTTTGGGCCCCGTCCACGCCCTCACGGTTTTGTTTCTGGAAACTCACACGAGAACTTCCCAGTGGGTCACCCATCCTGGGACTGCTCTTGCGCAAACTCGCTTAACTTCGAAGTTCTGATGGAACTCGAAGTCAATGAGCTCCCAAAAGGCCTCGTGCAAAAGGCCTCGTGCTAGGAAGAGATGGGCATATACATATAAGGCATAGATGATCCACTCCCTTGAGCGATGTGTAATGTTATAGAAGGCCACCCATATCAGTGGCATCCCACTATAAAGACACCAAAAAATAGTAAGAGTGAGTGCTTTATATCTATGGCCTCCAATTGCAAATGGCGTGCAAAATATGGTGTTCTATAAGCATAATTCTAGTAGTGATAGTTGTAATCGTCACACAACTTTTTTTTTTTTTCAATTAATGAGAAGGAATTCGAGAGTTAGTTGATGTGTACGTACGTGTATGTCAGGTAGCTTGTGTTTGTAGCATTAAGATAGGTGCAAATGAATATTGCGTATGGTATTCTAGTCCGACAGAATCAAATTAACCTTAAAGCATCTCTCGCATCGATTTCTAACAAGAAAGTAGACAGACAACATTTGTCAAGGTGTCCGTAAAACCTAGGACAAAATCCAAGATTCCAAATATCAATAACTTCTTTCGTGATGTAGGGGTTGATATCAATTAACTTTTTTGAGATTACACGGATGAAAGT